TATTACGTATTGTTCCCTCATAATGTTTACTGCAATTAATAAACTAATATAAACTTGACTATCAAAAGATGACCACACATTTTTAAAAATTATTATTCTTAACACTAAAATTAACTACATTGACTATGGAGTACGCAGTAAACATTATGTGCGTGGTGTATATTTTATATGCAATTTTTACTATATTCGACACTATTTTTCTTTCATATGACACAACACTGATGGAGGCTATAATGTTAGCCAAACCGTTTTTTTTTAAACCAAATAAAAATACCGAAAAACCAAATGAAAAATCAATCGGCGTTTTTCCCGAACCCAAATTCCAAGAAAATCAAAAAATTTAGAATATTTAGAATCAAGGTTCAAGAATATCAAATTTTCCAAGATTGTAAAATTCTAGTTAATTATTTTATGTGTACAGTTATTTAGGAATGTCATCGATGTTCATTTCCAAGCCAACTAGACGCCGATTTTTCGATGATACGGTATAATTTCTTACGTGAAATGTGTAAATAACATTAGACCAATTAAAACAAAGAAATATGAATTTCTCAGTATTTTTAGTAACACCTTTATTTATTCTTAAAAACTTAATTTTGTATTATGCAAATATACCAATTTTGTTGTTATTTTTATTCATATTGTTCAGCTATCACTTAAATATTTGATATTAATTTGGTATTAATATAAATAATCAATACTATTCATTAAAAATACTGAACAAATATATGTTACGCTTAACATACATTATATATTATCAAACAAAAACACATTCTTCTTTTAAACTGTATCAGTCTTGTTTTTACAAAATCTTTTTTAAATTTGAACTCAAAATAATGTCTTTTTTCATGATCTCTAATAATATATTCTTTATTTTTCCCTCTAGATCATAATACCTACTTACGTGTTTGAATCTATCTAAGCCGAACCAGCAACACTTGGAGTGGAGATTCCACAATATGAATAAAATAAACATAATTGTCCAGTTTTCATTAATACCATCATGGGAGAATATTATTTTTAAATTTATTAAAGATATTTTCAATAAAATTCTCTTTATTTATAACTCGTATCCACTTTTCTTGCTCTTCCGGACACTTTAGGCTGCCTAGTATAATAACTATCCTTAGTAACCATCCTTTCCACCAGGAACACAACAAAGATGAGGCATAGCACCAATAACACACTCCACTTAAGTTTTATTGATGAATTGTTAGAGTCTTAAAAACACACACAAAAAATCACGATAAGTAAAAAATGTATGGGCACTTTTAGGTTAAATCACTTGCATAACGTGTAATTTTTAAAATTTCTATTTTTTGGTGCGAAACCGAGAGTGACCATATATATCTGGTAGTAGTTTATGTCACTTCAACACCAAAATAATTAGTTTTTGCACTACAATAATAAATAATACCAAAAATCAAAGAGTTAAAACCAAAAATCAACCGACAAAATATGAAACGGAATCTAACCCAATATCTAAGTATGTACAGCTGATGAAGTAAACAAAAGTCCGCCCGTAGGCTGATCTTTTAATAGAAGGCATTGGTCGAAAGAACTTATTTTTACTTCAAAAATACATAGTAGTTCTATGTCCACGGAATATTGGGACTTGGGACACCCTGTATATACTAAAGTTATAAACAGATTATTTTTAAACTTACTGCTAAATCAAATTTTATTTTATGTTGTCAGTTGTAATATTGCATTGGCAATTTACATTAGCAACACTGCTAATAAGTTCCTAAACAGCTTTTTCTTTATGAGGATCCGGCAACCCTGGCACGTGATAAGAGGAAAAAATAAGTAAATAATTGAGTGCCAATAAGTGAATAATTTATACCAAATAATAATGTCATTTCTGGCGTGAGAAGTAGGATAGACGTTATGTACTAAAAATATTAGATAAGTATTTTCTTATAGAATCTCTGCCCTGCGTCCTTCAGTAATCGCGAGACGCCACTGATTGGCACTAAAAATTCCACCAATGAATGTAAAAAATCAGAAATATAAACAAATTATTTTAATTGACATAAACGCGCTAAATTGATGCGACTTTATGACAACCAAATTATTTATGATAACCAAACAAAAACTGATTTATTTTTTATAATAATTTAAACTTGATCGTTGTAATTACGTTTATTTAATTGCAAAATATTGTACTAATAGTTCTTAAACAGTTCGCTAGTGTTTTGGGGGAAATATAATGATTTTATAATTGGTAGGTATGTAATATTCATTAGATTTTTAATATAGGCATGGTAAAATTAAAAAAAAAACTATCTACAAAATATTTTTAGAAGTTTTGTAGGTAGGTATCTTTTTTAATAAAAAAAAAACTATTTTTTTAATTGATAAAAAATATAGGTCATTAAAGGTACCTATTTTTTTTTTTTTTCGCGAATCAACGTCCTGACAACTGGATAGCACAAAACACCTTTTTTCTACATTTTCAATTAAGTACAGCAGAATATCCAAAAAGTTGTATTTCTTTATTTATAAGTAACGAAATACTAAAATTAATAAACAGAAATAGACTTGAATAGAAATGAAAAAAAAAAATAATAAAATTAAAAACTAATTTTCAACTCCGACGCGAACGTATAAAATGAAAAATACTGGCGCGAAAAGATGGAAGAAAAGTGACAGGTGGGTCAACCCTGTCAGCGAAAAGTAATAATTATACGAACACAAAGTTTCTGCGGTACAAGATAAATTAACAATCCAGTCACAAACAAAAATTAACGTCGTCATTACTAAAGCGTAATTAGTGACTAACAATAAATAAATAGGTAAATAAAACAACCTATTAGAAATACTTTGTTTTATTAAGAAGTCTTTATTGATATAAAAACTTCAACTAAAAACGCATTAGGTAATCTTCTAATATTGTTCTGAAAAGGAAAAAACCGTAAATTTGGAATATCATGTTAGCAGACACCACGCCTACAAAATGTCCGCAAGTCGCCTTTGTTTGCCGCCGCCATATTGGATCAAAAGTTTTACCTAAACAATCAAACATATTTTAAATTTTACCTTCTATGGTATCAATCGGCCCTGTTGTGGATGTGGAAAAACATGAAAATCCATTACTATTGCACAATTCACCTACATTAGAATCGCTAAAGTCGATTTTTAATTCTTTTCGCGCTTGATTCGTTTTCTTGTACGTCAGGATAGGAATCCATCTTTGACACGAATAAAAACCTTTTTCGAGAAGCAAGTAGCCGGAAGAAGACCATCAGCGCACTCTGACGGGCAATTCGCTCTGTCTAATTTGGCGGATCTGCCATCCGGACAAATATTTCACACGAGTTGAAGAAATAATTTGTTATAAATATGGCAAATTTAAAGTTTTCCATAAAAGTAGTTCACAATGCCAAAAAATAAAGGTAAGTTATATATTTTTATCGAATTAGCTTATTTCGTTAATGCCAGATGGTTTTATTTCTTTTCGTATATCGACTTCTTTCTCCATCTAAAGCTTAGCAATAAAATAGGTTTTAGTAGAATAATAATTAATCTATAATCAGTATTTATTCTTTAAACATAAAATTTTGAGCAGAATAAGGAATATTATTGTTGAAATAGTACTTAAATATCATCGTAAACCTAAAAATTATTAATGTTTCAATGTTATTTGAAGACAAGGTTGTCATTGTTAACATTTGTCAGACATCTCTATTTTAATTATATAGAATTTTTATAGTAAAATATTTGGTGTGAACCTTATTCTTTTCTGTAGGTTTAGTCTAAATCTTCAAAAAAAAAAAAATATTGGTTATAGGTAATAATGTAATTTTCCTTTATCTATAGGTAAGAGTAAAAAAATCGACGAAAGAACGAAAATGAAACAGAAAAACGTGAATTAATCTTCAAAGAAGATGGTCAAGAATATGCACAAGTCACCAAAATGTTAGGAAACGGTCGATTAGAGGCAATGTGCTTTGATGGAGTCAAACGTTTGTGCCATATCAGAGGGAAACTAAGGAAGAAGGTTAGCTATTCATAAAGCTAAAGAAATGTTGCTTAATCAATCAAGTAAATTTTTGGGGGCTGGTTTGGTGTTTTTACTCAGTCTGTACAGAAAATTTGACATGTTTATTATAAGTGCATTATTGACTGTCGCCAATTTTTATTATGATTAAGTAATAAACTATTTTATATGTAGAAATTACACCCTGACTACATGGCCTTGGACTTTGACCCTGCATATCTCTGATTGCTCAGTTGATTACAAGAATTTTGTTTCTGATTTCAAAATATTAAGTTTGTTAGTAGTTTTTTAGTGGTTTTACATAATAAGTAAATGATTTTTGATAACAATTCTAAAGTAGCCATGTATGCATATAGTCCAACGAGAGGATACCACATTACAGTGACAACTGTGTCATTATAATTCACATGTAAATTGTACAGTATGATCGAAAAAAACGGCGTCAGCGATGGCTATGAAATGAAAATCACTGTCATTTTATATGTAAAAATATATGGGGAATGTCATCTATGATCATTTCTAAGCCAACTGGGCGCTGTTTTTTCTCGATCATATGGTATATTCTCTCATTTTTTAGATGTTGTCTGGTTAAAATCACTTTCAAATCTTAACATAAAAAAGTATTCTTTTAAAATGTACCCTACATGAGAAATATATATGTGAATATATTTTATTTCAAAGTAATTATTATTAACTCTTAAACCACTACAGACAATATCAACAAACTATACCCCAGTTCCAATATTTTAAATAATATTGTATATAAAGAAATTAATTGTTCAGATAGGGTGTCCCAATATTCTGTGGATATAAAACTACTATGTATTTTTGGAATCAAAAAAAGTGCACTGGACACAATTTACCTCTATACAAAATTACTTTGTCCAATAAAGAGCATCAACCTAACCAAACCAAACCTAACCTAACCTAACCTAAAAAAGATGAACACTTTTTAAGATATTTTAAAACCTGATGTTCCTATTTAAATGAGATTTGGGATGCCTATATCTGATAAACACTTTAATAGTCGGTGAGATGGCGTATTTTACAAAAAATTTACTATAACTGCCACTTAGAAACATCAGTTTTTGTTTGAGTTCGAAAATATTTCTACCAGAATTTATGTAGGGATGGGGTACTTTTTACCCTTCTCATACCTTTTCTATATTTTTGTAAAAGTCAAATGTTAAAGCGCTTAGCTAGACAAAGGCATCCCAAATCTCATTCATATTGGAATATCAGTTCTTAAAATATCTTAAAAAAATGTTTATTTGTTGTAAGTTTGAATCCTAAAAAAATTGAACAGACAAATGAAGCACTTTTGTATAGAAGTAAATTGTGTCTAATGAACTTATTGTGTAATTCTATGTCCATGAAATATTGGGACACCCTATACCAGTTTGGTCATCTAATCTGTGTGGTCTGGATTTTAACATGTAAGACAGTAGTGTAGACAGCCTAATGGAAAATCAAATGTATTAAAAAGAGTTAAAAATTGGGTCGACACATTTCTTCTACGCGGTATTGCCGGATTTTGCATCAAAATTTCATACTGGAACTTTATTTTTCACTATTAATTACTCATTTTACTACAGCTGTAATAGATTATATTTAGTTTAGATATATTATCATTTCAGTAGTATATATGAAAGTTTTTAAAATAGCTAATATTTTTCTACACACATTTTCATACAAAGGTAAAAAACCGGCAAAACTGTATGCCGCGTTTGATTTTGTTTCTCTGTCTGTCAACCAGTCATTTATATTATTATCTGTCACACGCATTAAAATCTAGACCACATAAATTGGATGACCAGCAGGGTATACAATACTGTTCTACCATTATTTTCTATTGATTTAGATTAACACTGTACATTTTTTTAGGTATGGATAAATCAAGGGGATATCATACTGATAGGATTAAGAGAGATTATCAGGATGCCAAAGCAGATGTTATTCTGAAATACACACCTGATGAGGCTCGAAACCTCAAAACCTATGGTGAATTCCCTGAATCTGTTAGAATTAATGAAACAGTTACGTTTGTCGAGGATGGATTCGATGAAGATATTGAATTTGGTGATGATATTAGTTCAGGAGATGATGCCGATCCCGTGGACGGTATCTGATGGATTTGGATCTACAAATATAATAAGAAATGTAAAACAGTAATAGCCTTTTGTCACTTTCTTCGACTGTTGGCATAATTATCTAAATAAATCTATATTTGTATGGTTTTGTTGACGTTTTAGTGGTTTTATTTATTTAGGATATGCATATCTGGAAATAACAGATATTATGCCAACTTTTAAAGGAACTGGCGTTTTTTCTGTAGAAATAAATAATACTTTTAAATTTCTACTTTTTGTGATTAGTTATGTTAGAACATCAAATAATGGAATTTTAACTACTGGATTATACATATTTAATTTTATAGCCTATGGTAGTTGATGTCTGTAAAAAAAGAACTAAACTGCTTTCTTTCACCATGTATTATATTTTCTTAAAATTTGTTTTTTATATTTCTTAATTATATAAACTGTCAGTTGGAAACATTGTTTATATTAGTATTGAAATAATATGCAACAGACCATTTCTCTATTCTTTTTAGGTTACAAATATTTAGGATATTTCCAATGGCTTATAATTTAATTTATTAAAATTAATAATTTATAATTTTACGATGAAACTTTTTATAAACTCTTAGTGCAAATGAAAAAATATTCAAGTACTTGTTTAAATGTATATTAAATAAATTATACAGTAAAATCAAGTAACGTTGACTGCTTTGATGTCCATACACCAAAACTATCTTTCAAATTTCTCCAGTTATCGTTGTAGCCTTTGCACACATTTTTTGCAGCTATATATGTCAAGTTTTTGTTTTCAACATCACTACATAATCTAATATTACATTCGTCAAGTTTAGTAATAAATGCATTGAAAATTTGTAGTTTACAAATTTTTAGTTGCGCTTTTACTGAATGCATATTTTTCTTAGTAGTGCCTTGTTTTTTGCCATCTACAGCTACCTCTAAAAACCTAAAATAACAACTATTAACTATATTTTGACAGAAAATTCCCTAACCATACAAAAACAACAGCGAATTTTTCAAGTCCCAAATTTTAAGTGAATTTATCTTACTTTTAAACTATAATTTTAATGAATTGAGTTATCAAATTTTAATTAGTTAATATCTGGGATGAAGATGTAAAAAGCTGCAATGAAGATTGTTTTCTATTCTTAACGACTGTTAAAAAAATTATTAATTTATTTCATAATATTTGATCTTTTTAATGATATTTTTTGTTTTGTGTAGAAATTAAAATCTACGCCGAAATAAGTGAAAGTATTGGTTGGGAAGAAATATAAATGCCATTTCTTCATCATCCTCTTTTTATTTTTCTGCGTTTTTTTTAAAGGCAGAGGCATTTCACCTTTAATTTAAATTGTATTTTTTTGTATTTGTAGTTAGTAAAAAATAAAACAGTACAATAAAATAAGAGCTAGATAAAAATAATTCATATTTCTAACGCTGGAGGTACACACTCGGGTCGCCTCGGCGAGTGTGTACTTCCAGCATAATAATTGTATTTAATTTTTTTCAGTAAACTTCTAGACATCTTTTTCACTGTACAAGGTTTTCAAAGATATATAGTTTTTTCAAAGAAACAAAGTTTACCTATTTGTGGTAGCAACTATTTTTAAACATAGGTCTTGTAAGGTTTTATCTGAACCACTGGAATGCGAAATAAAAATAAACAAAAGACAACAAGAAAGTTAAGGGAAATCTATATTTCCACCTTTTTTAATGGAACACCCTATATATTTTTAGTTTTTTGAAAGATTTTCTTCCTAGTTCGAACAGATTGCATTGGCGTGAACCATTTTTTAATTATTTTTTTTAATCAATGCAACCGCTCCCACACAAAGTTCATAGTGTACCTTGAATTCTAGTACTATTAAGGTTGATTCTCACTATACCTCCCGTATCAGCTACTTTCCGTTTCCCTTCCGTTTACATAAAATATGATAGTAAATGAATGGGACAATGCACACTATCCGTTCCGTGTCCCTGCCGTTCCATGTTCTTTCCTTCCATACATTTTTTTGTGGACGGACTAAAGCGTATCGGAAACAGCGGTGTCAAGTTCTTACATTTGTATTATTATTTATTTTTTCACCTCTCAATTAAATCTATTACCTTTTTCAAAAGATACAAATTTTTAAAACAACTTTCGTAATGATATAAATTGTACAGTAAAAAGTATGGAACTGATACGAAACGGAAGCATAGTATAGCCTGAATGCAATCAAAAATACGGAACGGATATGAAATGAACGCAGAAGGTATAGTGAGAATCAACCTTTAGGTATACAATATGCATTCTGTGTGATACCTGTTGTATTGATTAAACCAAAATAATTGAAAAATTATATACGGAGACATAGACAAACTATACGATTGACATCGGAAGGAAAAAATCATATAATATACAGTGTGTTCCATTAAAAAGTAAAGTTTAAAATTATTCTTATTTTTGTGACCGTCTTTGTTTATTTTTTCGCTGTCTGGCGGTTCAGGAAAAAACTTACAACTTCTACATTTATTTTTTTTATTACCTTCAACCGGTGAGTCTGCGGGTATCGCCTTTTATTGTTTAATTGTCAAAATATTCGACTTCAAGATAAAAAAATTTTGGATACATACTTCAAAGGAGCCGAGGCTTATTGTCGCTTCTGTATAGCTAAGGTATTTTGTGACTTTGACATGTAATTTTTTCATGTAATGGCGCATTATCACGACTCGTGTACTTGACAAACATGTTTAATTGGTATACAGGATATCCATGGTGCGTCGGGCATCTATACAGAATTTCTAAGTTATTTATAGAACTAGGAACTACGCCGCATTCTCGCCATACCCTGTATGCCAATAAAAATACTTGCCAAGTAGACGAGTCGTGAGAATGCACCTTAAGATTTGATTACCCATCGTTTCCAATTGAAAACCACGAAATGCTATCAGGGCTCGGTTGTTTTTCTTCAGATTTGCCAAATGGAAAATTTATAGTTGCTTGACCACATTGTAGAATATGCCTTTCAAAAGGAAATGATAAAGAAACGGTTCCTAGTCTATCATAAAGAGCTCTTTTTAAGGCATCCTCGTCGAATGGTGTGTTTTGATCTATAGTAAATGTGGATAAATAT